AGTTATGTTGCAAGGAAGAATTCGTTTAACGAACTTCTTCCACAGCGAACAGCAGAATTTATTTTAATTTGCCGATGTTTTGGGAATAAATGAGTATAATAGCACTGAAAAATATATTACGTTCGAATATCAGTGACTATACGAATAATTAGAATGTTCAAGGACGCAGATTAAAATAATACTTGTTGCGACAATATATGATGATCCACGTATCAGTCGCTATAGTATTTAAGTTACTTTTGATGATTCGATTAGACCATGTTAATGAACCTATTCATTTACTTCTCACCCCTCAACTTTGATTAAATTTTCAAAAATTTCCTCAACGCTTACATCTAGACCTTGTCAAAAATTTTTATTTCCCGTTTTCAGAACAGGATATCGGCAGGTAATTGTACTCGTGCAACCTACATAGTCCACGAATCATGCTTCGAACGAATACAAAATTACATCCAGAATTAAAAATGATATTTGCCATAATTTCCACTCGAATCTCGACGTCCAGATGGAATTAGCATTTACCAATCTCCGTTCATCTTCATCCTCATCTGGAGACTTTGTTCCTCGCGTATCTTTCTTCAACAGTTCGAAGTTTCATCGATGCTGCGCTTCGTCGATAAAATCCTTTGAAGAGAGCGAACCACGAAAATGCCAGGTCTCGAAAGAAGAGAATATATACGAAGATGCACGGTTTGAGTGGCGAAGCGCGCCGCGTCGCAGCCACGTCCACATCGAACGACGATAAAAAGTGTTCAAGGTGAGCCAGAGAGACGTATGAATGGGCGTATGCATGAATGGCTGGCTGTACGCACCGAGCTGAGGCCGGCCAGTGCGTGCACACGCATCCTTATCCCCTTTCTGCGTGTACGTGCACGCGTGTACCTGGCAGGTCGAGCTGCATGCACATGGATCCTTCGCCGGTGCATCAATGAAACGTTCAGGGTAGATTTAATTAGCTTTTCTTCGTGGGTTTCCCTCCACGACCGTCGCTCACGCATAATTCGCACGCATAATTCGCATTTTCACTGATATTCCGTTTCGAAATATAAGTGGATCTTGATAGAGGTCTAGATGCACCGTGCGTTAATACGGGGTTCTGATGGTACGTTCACGTGGGATCCAAGTTGATCAAATTTTTGCAAATTCGTCAGGAAATTTGGAAATTTCGAGATGCAACGTTTCTTTTCACCGCCCTCTGTTTGGGTATTTAAATTAATTGTGCTTAGGGTATAGTTACACTGTGCGGATATTGCGTGTGATATGTGGATACAGGAGTCAGTTTTCCTGAATTTCTCTGGAACTAAAATATTTCTTCCTTCGCGTCGAGCTGGTAACAGATGTTCCTGGATGTGTGTTTTCACCATGTTCCATGTCGGGATATAAATGAATTAACGTTCGATCGCATGGTAGGAATCTATGCATGCTGCATGAATTTTTCTAAAAATTTCGACGCTTCATTGTCCATGACGAAGTGAGGATAATAATTTAGGAAATTGCAAATTGCAGATAATCTATATCAGTTCAGCCCACCGATCATTTTCGCTAATTAAATTATGTAAATTACTCAGTCCTGTGTTGTGGTTCCGAAGTAACGAAAGATATCGTAATTCCGACATACTCGTCAACGTACCGAGTGAAATACGATCATAACGGGTCGTAAACCACGGCGGAGGACTGATCGACTCACCTATCCGAGTTGTTCGAAGAAGTGAACGAGCAGAGCAGCGGAAGGATCAGTAACAATTAGGTTTTATTATTACAGACTATAAGAACTGATCTCTTTACAATCGGCAATACGTACAAAATGGTTTTACGTGTCGCTGCACAGGATAATAACGATACGGATATAGGACGGTTCCTGTTGCACTTTCTCTCGATCCACCGCTAATCGTCGCCATTTTGAGCGCAATATCTCCGCGAACAGCGGAGCACATCGCCGGCGCGTACGCGTGGATAAATGTTCGCGAATCGGGCATCGTGGAAGCGAAAAATCGACAAAAGCACGTCCCGTATCGAAAGGAGGCGCCGCAAGTCTCAGGTACGATCGTTTCGATTCGCGCTTCCAGCGTCCTCTAGCGTGTCCGTCGAACGTCTACGAGGCGCCGCCATTACGATCTTCGTCGTTTCTAATCGACGCGTCCTCCGATTCTTTTTAGAAACATTCAACAACGCGTTTCCTCGAACGCCACGCGCCGGCACGAATTATGTACGGATTATGTACATGTATACAATAATAATTATAATAATAATAATAATAATAAAAAAGAAAAAAACACGGCTTTTGATTTAACAAAGAGTATAAATAAGACTAGATTTCGTTAGGCGTTATTAAATAAGATTCGCGTGTGTAGCTTACGATTAAAAAGTAACCATGATAATCGTATAATTAATAACGGGCATTCTTCCTTCTCCGTTTCTCATGCTTTCTCTCCGTCAGGCCATCCTTATCTTTCGTTTCCGAGCCTCACCCGTTCCACCATCCCGCCACTCTAGCAACCCCCTAGTCATCCTCTCGCCCCCTAGAGTTCCACGAGGCGCGCGCCCCCCTCGAAATGCATAGCGAGATCGACAGCCGACCATGGTCTTCGCCGTTTCTTCGAAAAAGGCTGTCGGTGCCGCGCCTCTTGTTTCTTAAACGCGAACCATCACCGTTCGCATTCGCTTCTAATCGGCGAGCACGAAACCACGCTCTTTGGTTAACTACGACAAACACGTTCTTTCAGCGCTATGTACATTCCAGTCTCCCATCTTTGGCACGGAGCTACGATCGGATTTACATTATTATTAAAACGACGATGCACGTCGCCGTCTCTGCTCTCACACTCTCTCACTCTCTCGCATACTCTCTGCGATTCTCCTGTCCCGGCTACCCCCGGTGCTCACAGCATTTGCATAGTTTTCGCGTAGTGTGAGAATCGAACGAGCCGAAGCTCCGTCTC